ACATCTCGTTGCTTCGCACATTTTGTGTCCTGCTGTGGCCTGCTGAAGTTGATCTACTTCATGAAATGAACGAAAAGCGAGATGAACGTGCCTTTTCACTTCAATTAAAGTCATTACCAACTTAAAGAAGAAATTAGGAGGCCAGTTTGACAGGAACTTTTCAGCTGCTTTACAGGCTCATGTAGATAACACCCCCATTGGGAGGTAACAAATAGAAAAAGCAACAAAAATGTTATCAAATACTATTCTTGAGAGTGGTTACAACCATATTTCCACCCAAGGCCAATCTTGACCTACGCCCTAGACTCAAGAAACACAAGATTTTTGACACCTCGTTCTAGGTTAATCGGTCTCAAGGGGATTCAAGTCAACCTCTTCCAATACATGTTACAGTCTTCAAGTGGACGCTCCGACTAATATCATATGATAGGTTTAAAATCTTTAATGGATTTTATTTCAGCCTCTTCCAATACAATACGTTCGTTGAGTAAAAGCTCCAACTAATAACCTAAGATAGGTCAAACATACTTGATAGATTTTATTCGACTTTGTCAATAACATATTAACGTCGTAAAGAATCTCCGACAAGACAACCTAGTTGGGTCTAACGTTCTTGGTGGGTTTCATTCGATTTCATACATAACATGATAACGCTGAAAAAAATTTTCGACAAGACAACGTAAGACGGGTCTAACAACCTTAATAGATTTCATTTAACTTTATTCGCACAGGTTAACACCGTCTAACATTTCTCGACAAAACAACCTAATATGGGTAAAACATCCTTTTAGGATTACTCATAACTACTAATATACAAATGATCTCAAATCATTCGAATAATGTTAATAGATTATTCATGATTTTTTACATATAAATGATTATTTCTCATGGTTTCTTGCATACCTCAAATCGATCAAACATTCTTGACGGATTACTCATGGCTTCATACATACAAATAACTTCAAATCGGTCAAATATCCTTGGTGGATTACCTATAGTTTCTTACATAAAAAAGATCATTAACACTCCAACAAATAATCTCAAATAAGTCAAACAAAAATTATGAATTTTCTTCAATCTCTTCAGCACATGCCAACCATGATGTTACTCGTTTACAATTATTTAATGAATGTGTGGCCAGTCTATCACTCTTATGCAATTATCTGACTACAGCATTGTTAATTCCGATGCTTAACACTATCAATATTATTGAAGATTCAAATCTAGTATGTCGGATCATAGTATCTCCTGCTATTTTTGTTTTATCTGTACGGCCGCTAGATTTTGGTGCAACGCCAAGACATTAAATAATCACTTTACCATTGTGAATTTTCCATGCAACAAATATAAATATTGATCTTTACATCAAAGCAGTAATACTCTACTAAAAGTTGGAGACAATAAATTCACATTAATTAATTAAAGCGTTCATCTGCTTGCGCTTTTCACTAAAATTCCCGAAGCTTCCTAAGAACCAACTATTGCAATTTTGGCAAGAATAAATTCATTTTTTAGTCAACTTTTGGAATTTTGACATATGAAATGAAATTAATTCAAACGGCACAAGATTAAAACCCACCAGCATCATCCAAACAACATCAATGATGACGGCTATTTAGGTGGAGTAAATGATTCAGTAAAACATTAACAAGCCTCATATAATTGTTAAGATGAGATGGCCGTCTTCGCATCTACAAATTTTAGGCAATGGAATAATATATATTAAAAGAAAAGGCGGTCTGGAGAATACAGAGAGCACGAGAGAACAACAAATGGCTCAGAAATCCGTTCATTTGATAAATTTGTTAAGGTCCTAATAGAGATTTAAATCTTTAATGCAATTATTAGCAGAACTGTACCGTAAAATATATGAGGCAAAATCTGCAGATCATCAATATTAGCATAATCCCAAGCATTTGGGGTCTACTTGATGCATGCTTATTCTACCGAAGAATATGGTGTATAATATTAATCAGGAAAGCAATCTGAATCTGTCAAAACTAATCTGTTTCCGAATAGCTGAAAATTTGATTTCCAACAGCAGCAGTAAGTTCCGATGGTTTCAATCCACAATCATCCAACTTATGTTGAAGCCAACGAAATAAAAGAAACCGAAAAAATGATGAAATGATCCATGGACTATGTATGAGGGGAGTCATTTTACTCCCAAACTATCTAATACGTTGTTATGCCGTTTGTTAGCTTGAGGACAATTTTGTCTTTTATTAGCCTAAAGGCAATTGAGTCTTTTATTATTTATTATTCTTTAGTATAACTAGACTCTAATAGGTCTAGGATTGGGGATGCATGAGATTATTGTTGAGGCTTAGGTTTAGGATTTAAGAGAGATTTCTTACCTCTCGAATTGTAAGAATTGGGAGAAATCGTCTGCCTATCAAATTGTAAGTGCTTATGTATTAGTATTAAATTGATTGATTTATCATAATTTATGTGTCAAATCATTGCCAGTCCCTATCATATGTTCACTCTAATCACTTGACCCTCAAATCTGATCTACAATAGTTTATCGATTCTTCAAATCAAATCCAAAATAATACATAAAAAAAAGAAAATTTGCATATCATATTTTAAAAACTAAATGACAAAATTAAACTCCTTTATAGTCTATGACTAAAATATCCAAACACAAACAAGCGAGGAATCATTTTGAACTTTTATTTAACAAAAACTATCAAAGCCAAAACAGAAATAATGAAACCCTTGCTTAAATCATTGAAAATCAACCATAACTACTATACTTAAAACTTACCAAAAATATTATATTTGTAAATTAAAAATTATTTAAATTTTATGAAAAAAAGTAGTATGTTATTTTAAGATTTTTTAAACCAAAAAAATGAACAAAGATATGCACTAAAAAAAATTGGAACCTTAAAATTGCTAAAACTAACAAAAGCAAAATCACTATGATGAAAGCAAAATAAAGAAAAAGTGAGTATAAGATCTTGAACTTAATGATTTAACTGGAGTTTGTCTTATTATGTGTAGTATAGAAATAGCAAAACAAATAATACTTTTGGGATCAAGAGATTAATGGTTTAGGAAGGCGACTTTTGAGAGAATTAAAATATTGTCAAAAGGAATTTCAAGAAGAATGATTACTATAGAGAAATTTTTTAAACTCAAGAAAATTTAACAAAGCCCATCGGAACTCAATAAAATCGTCAAAAGAAGCCTAAGAACTCAAGTAGTGCTTTACCAACTAATTATTATCTCTCCCTGAAAAATTATCATTAGCTTCTGCCCATCTATTTGGGGTTAGCATAAATAATCTTAATTTTCAGTCATTCATATTAAGTGTTGTAAGAGGGTTAACCTTATTCTTTAAATCATTTTGAATAAAATTTATCCATCTATCCTTAAGTTTGCACATTTTCTTTCATCAACTAATCTAAAAAGCACGTTTCCTACCTTTTGTTGTTGTGTTCAAACCACTTAAACATGTTATATGTTGTCTTATATTTTAATAAATGTCACTCCAATATTTTCTATAATATGAGTCATTTTTTAATTTATATTTGCTAATTAATTTACAAATCCATTTTAACATTTTCATTTCTATCAAACCTAGCATGGATATCAAAAGCATTTTTAGAAGACAATATTTGAATCCATAAAATAATATTAGCCTAATCACAGCTTTGTAAAATTTACCTTTTAAAATCTATAATATCCGTTTATCACACAACTCCAAAAGCGGTTCACTAATTTAACCAATCATCCTTGACACTAAAAAGTATATCCTCATCGATATTTTTATTATTTAGTATAATAGATCAAGATTTATAAACCTATCACACCAAGGAATCACTTTATCTTCCAACACAATGAAAGTTAATTATTAAAACCAAGTCACCAAAATTGCATATTACATACTTAATCTTTGTTATAAAAATTATAATATCTCTATCTTCTGAGTATTTCCTCGATTGGTCTATTTTTACAATTATGTCAATGAAAGTTTCACTGACTAAAACAATATCATCTAAAAAGAGCAAGCATCAAGGCACCTCACTTTGAATATCATTTATAAACATCTTCATAACCAATATAAAATGGTATGAACTCAAGATTAATCCTTAATTAACCTACATTAATTAGAAACTCTAAGATCACTCTAAAATTGCTTCTAAAATTATGCAGTGGTCCATCATACAAATAATTAATAATGGCAAAATCTTTGACATGCACCCCTTTATCTTAAAATTAATTCATATGATACTCGATTATATGTCGTTTCAAAATCAATAAAAATCATAAAATCTTATCTTCATCCTTTTGACTTCACAATTTTTTTTTTTTGAATTAATAGTTACTTGAGTTGTAGATCTGCAATTATTTTATGAAATTTATGTCATTTTTTGCGTAACACATTCTATTACTCTCTCAAATTGCATGGAGCCGAGTTAATATTTCAAAGCTCAAGCAAATATATATCTATATATATATATATATATATATCTGTGTGTGTGTGTGTGTGTGTGTGTTCGCGCGCCTTCTCCTGACTCATTGGTTGCGGTTTTTAGTGTGAGTCCCTCCAGTCGGGGGTTCGATTGCACACATGTCTAGAAGGAGGGTCCGCCCCTCGTTCAGACTCGCTGATCAACCTCTCTCTCTCTCTCTCTCTCCTCTCTCTCTCTCTCTCTCTCTCTCTCTCTCTCTCTCTCTCTCTCTCTCTCTATATATATATACATTGATGTCCAAATTGAATGTGACAAATAAGAGTTGTAATACGGGCATGTACTAAAACAAGAAGGGATGATTTGCAAAATTATTATATTAGAAGAAAAATGAGTGTACCATTCATGGAAGATAAAGTAGCAAAATAAAGACTATGGTGAGCATGCAAAAATCATAAAAAAAGAAGCAATAAGATGAGTTGATCTGTAAGCATCAAATACGGAAAAAAAGTATTTTTGGATGCTTGACAATTAGCTAAAAGCCAGTCACCATGATTTATCCATTGTTAGCCGCCATACCTCAATTTTCCTATCCAACCTATTAAGAACTACATTTCTCTCAAGATACTCCACTGCATTTGGGTTCAGATCATTTGCATATACATACTTCACTTTCTTTGCAGCAGAAATAGTTAAAGGGCCAACACCAGAGAATACATCGCCTGTTAAGTAGAATAATGATAAATATAAAGTGAACGACATAATAATTGACAATAGAAAACAAGTAAAGAAAACATCAAGCCTGAAATATGTGCACAATACAAATTCAGAGATATGAAGTCGTTGCTAGATGATATATAACAGGTAGTGACAAGAGACTTCAGTACTTCTCACTGTAACCCTCGAATTAAATTTGAAGTATAGAAATACCTTAAAGTATCTCCTAATTATGGTGGGAACATAGACAAGTTATCTTTAAAAAAACTAAAATGAACTTAAATTCCTTTAACTAGAGCTCCAATTAAGGACATTTTACTTCATTTTGAAGTTGCTTTGTGATGTATTATACTATTATTATTGTGTCATAACATTGCGAGTAAGGCATAGGCTAAAGCCTCAATTTTATTTTAGATTTCAAAAATATGTAAATGGACGAACTATCAAAATTAAAATAAATTCATTGTATAAAGATTTGCTTCCACGGAGAGACTGGATTAACCCTTGAAGCACCAATGGCATCTGGATTTCCTATCCTATAAGAAGTTGAAAAAGAATAAAAAAATAAAAATGAAACATATGAAACATCCTCCAACCACAAAACAATTGCCTATGATCTGAAACAAATTTGTCTATAAACTTTTACCCACAATCATCTCATTTTAGACGCCAAACATATTAGAACAACCAGCAATGTTATCCCCCTTTTCAACCCATAAGGTAAAATCTTCTCCAAGTAATTCTTGCCTTCCCAAAGGATACACTGAATTTCAGGTTGTACAAACTTGCAATCCAAAGCTCGTTTATCATATCCAAGATCATCACCTAAAAGCATTTGAAGAAACTATATTTTCAAATTAACCTAAGGATATTATTTAACCACTTGTTTTCCTTCCTAAAATCTCACAAACTTCTTCCATCAGAAGCCTGAATATTTAGTTTCTAAAATTTGGAACTACTGCACTGTTAATTTATCATGCTAAAAAAACTGTGTCCGTTCATTGAAGCTCGTCCATAATAGTACTACTCTTTTCATGTTCTTAACCTCTTGAAGTTTTAGTGACCAACAGCATCAAATAAAAAACTAAAGCTATAAAATTTAGCATTCAAATGTACAATGCAATAGACGTGAGTCGTGACAAAAACATTTTAAGCAATCTGAGAACTAGATCAAAATAAATAGTGTCAATTTCAAATATTATTTAGGGATTAAGAAAATATCAAGTTATAGTCCACGAATACACAATTTACAAAAGAACAAGTTCCAGGATGATCACACCACCAAAAGGAGATGCAAGTGCAATCTAAACACAGATACAAAGAAACTTACAAACTATCTCAGAGCTCGCAAAGCACCTTACAAGCCTTTGTCTTTCAGTCGACAATCTAGAATTCCAATAACTGCAAGGCGATCCGCCCAAATTATCAGCTCGTATCTCAACAAATGATTATAAATAAATAAAATTTAAGAATTCAAGATAAAATTTAAGAATTCAAGAAGGTTATTTTGACAAGATTAAGTCTGAACAAAAAAAGGATCCTGCACTATACTGAAGTCTGGTAAGCGCTGACAATTCAGATGTTTGATAGACGTTCTTTTTCGGTCAACAAAAAAGTCAAGGAAAAAAAAATGTTAAGTGCCTAGTCCTCGAGGTGAGGGGATGGAAACTGCTTGTTGATCACCTCGTAAGGCTCCCATGTTGCTTCATAGTAACAGTTCTTTCTGCTTAACCAATACCTCATTTGCTCCCCCCACTCCTCGACGCACTCCTTCGATCTCTAGCGGTTCCAGAATCACTTCCAAGTCCTGTGTCAGTGTTGGTGGTAGTGTAGACAATGGTATATGATCTCCAATCGCACGTCTCAGCTGTAATGCATGGAAGACCGGATGTAGTGCGGATGATGGGGGTAACCTCAAACGGTAAGACACTGCCCCGATGCGTGTCATCACCAAGACTCAAAATATCGTGGTGACAGTTTCTCACTTCTTCTCGAGACTAATGTCTTTTGTCAGTAAAACCTCAGTTTCAAGTAGACCGTGTCACCTAGTTCAAATTGCATCTCTTTCCTGTGTCAGTTCGTCTTTTTTTTCATGGTTTGTCGAGCTCTCAGTAAATGTCCCTTAAGCTCTGCTACTATCATGTCCCTCTCCTCTAGGTACTAATCGATGTGGTACTATGCCCATAATGTATCAAGTGTGGTGGATCCCGTTCATACAATATCTTGAAAGGGGTTGTCTATGCTGAAGTGTGGCAAGAATTGTTATATCAATATTCGACCCATACAATCCACTTAGCCCACAGCTTCGGTGTAACGGATACCAAACAACGCGGTATATCTCCGCACCCATGTTAACCACCTCTGTCTGCCCATCCATCTGGGATGATATGCGATGTTTCTTTTAAGGGTTGTCCCGTGCAACCTAAATAACTCCTTCAAGAAGTGGCAGAGAAACGCTATGATCATTCCGATACAATCGATTTCAGCACCCTGTGCAAACAGATCACTTTTTGGACAAATACTATCGCAACTGGAACAAAAGTGTAGGGATGTCATAAGGGAATGAAATGTGCATACTTAGGCAATCCACGACCCCCATGATCAACGTGAATCCTTCTGACCGTGGCAACCCCTCGATAAAATCCATCGTCACTTCTTCCCAAACCTTCCATGACAATGATAATGGTTGCAGTAACCCTCTTGATGTCGTGATCAAGTACTTGTGTAGTTGGCACGCTTCACATTTTGCCACCATGCCCTCCATGTCCCTGCACATTCCCACCGAATAAAGCTCTACCGCAAGACGACTGTAGGTTTTCCAGCCCCTAAGGTCCCCCGATTGTACTGCCATGAAACTATTGTAATAATTTGGAAATATAATCGGCAACTTGGGTAAGCAGGAATCACCCCTAGTGGAGCAGTTGTCCCCTCAATGAATATCCCGAATGACTGTTCGGATCCTGTAGTAACTCGGCTCTTATCTTCTTCAATTCTTCATCCCTTTCGCTCTCCTGTCTCAAGACTTCCCAATCTAGGACCAAGGGTACCGATAGGGTCATCAATTGGGGTTCCTCCATCTTTCATGACAATGAGTTAGCTGCCTTGTTTTCCAATCTTGGTTGGTATTGAATCTCGAAATCAAACCCCAATAGCTTGGATAACCATCGTTGATGCTTCTCAATTACCATCTGCTGCTCCAAAAGAAACTTTAAACTCATTCGATCTGTCCTGACAAAAAAATATCGTCCTAATAGGTAGTTTCGCCACTTCGGAATGGCCAAGAGAAATGTCATCAATTCCTATTCATATATTGACTTTAGCCTGGCTCTGGTCGCAAGAACTTGGCTGAAGTAGGCAATCGATCGTTAATCTTGCATGAGCACTGCTCCCAACCCGTACCTTGCGTATCTGCTCCACCACAAAAGGGTTACTGAAATCTGGAAGTGCTAATACCGGGACGCTAGTCATGACCCTCTTCAGCTATTCAAATGTCTGTGTCGCTGCATCCCCCATTTGAAATTTTCTTTCTTGAACTGCTCTGTCAGTGGTCATACTATCATGTCATATTCTCTCACAAACTTCTAGTAGTAGCTTATGAGACCGAAAATCCTCTCAACTCCTTTAAACTCCTTGGTAAGGCCCAATCAACAATAGTCTCGATCTTGGATTGATCTACTGCAACCCCTGTTCTCATCACCACATATCATAAGTATTCTACCCGTAACTGAGCAAAGGGACATTTCTTCAAGTTGATATACAACTGGTGTTTTCTCAATGTCTCTAGAATTGTCCTTAGGTGCCTCACATTCTGTCTTCGTAAAACTATAGAAGAGAATGTCATCAAAGAAAGTCAGGATAAATATCTTAGGGTAAGATTGAAAAAACCTATTCATTAGGAATTGAAATGTCGTTGGGGTGTTGGTGAGGCCAAACGGCAACACTAAGAGCTCATAATGTCCTTCATGTGTCTTAAACGTTGCCTTGTGCATATCAACAGGATTCATCTTGATCTAGTGGTATCCCGACTTAAGATCAATTTTTGAGAAAATGATTGCCCCATAAAGCTCATCTAGTAACACATCAATCACAAGAATAAAAAATTTATCCAACACTCTCTCCTTGTTCAAAGCTTGGTAGTCCACACAGAATCTCCAACTACCATCTTTTTTATTCACCAACAGAACAGTACTGAAAAAAGGGCTTAAACTAGGCCTGATAATCCCGGCCTCGAGCATCTCTCGGATCAGTTTCTCTATCTCATCCTTCTGAATCTGAGGGTACCTATATGGTCTGACATTGATGGGGGAAACAACCTCTTTTAATGTAATAGCGCGCTCGGGCTCTTTCGGGGGAGGTAACCCACTTGGTTGTTGGAAGACATCTGTAAATTGTTGTAGGAGCTGTTGGACCCCTTTAGAAAGCTTTGCCAACTCTAAAGCTAGAACCACCATAATGCTCTGCAACTCCACCAAGTAGCCTAGTTTTTCTCCCCGAATCAACTTGACCATAGTTTTGAGCGACATCATAGTTTTGTAAAAAATAACATCTCCTCTCAGCATCACCTTCCTACCCTCCACTTGGAACTCCATCGTCAGGGACTTCCAATCCACCTTCATTTCCCCTAGCATTCGCAGTCACTTCATCCCCAAAATCACATATGTGTTGCCCAAATCTAAAAGAAGGAAATCTTCCACTATCTATAAGTCATGTAGTGTCAGAACCAATCTCTTGCAAATTCCACAACTTTGCTCCACTTTCCTTGTCCCCATTATCACGTCGAAGCTCCTTATAGTCACCAGCTCTAAACCTAGCTTCTCCACGACCTGATTTAAGATGAAGTTATGTGTGGCCCAGCTATCTACCAACAACACAATCGACTGTCACACTGATCCACTCCCTCACCTTCATGATTTGATTTGGAGTAAATCTTGCCATCGAATTGAGGGACATCTCCACCACATCCAAATGCAGATGCTCGACCTCCATAGCATCCTCCTATGACTCCTCACTCTCTTTGTATCCTCCTCCTAAACTAAAAGAATCTGAAGGGCGCCCTCTTTGCAGCGAGGTCCTAGGGCATATTTCTCGTCACAGCGGAAACATAATCCATTCACTATTTTATCATGCACTTGTGCATCTGTGAGGCGCTTGAAATTACTCCTGAGACGGGTTCATGTAATCTTCTATTTCAGTGTCTTCTTCTGAAATGACACCGTCTGGGTCCTTGGCGTCGTGGCTGTCAAGGTGTTCTTGTAGAATCCCTCGGTGTTGTCGCTTTTACCGGTCTTGTTCACTTGTTTCTTATCATTCATCATCTGAGCAAGTTTCATCATTTCCCTCAATCCACGTGGTCTCAAAGGTCGGATGTTTGCTCAGATGTCAAGCTTTAGAGCTTTCAAGAAATTATCTTCCAATCCTGCTGCAGAAATATCTCTCAGCCTCCCAAACAAGAGCTTGAACTTCTCCTGATATTCTATAACTATCCCCTCCTGAGTCAGAGCAGAATTTCTCATTTGGGTCTCCTTCCCAAATAACTCGAAAACGTTTCAACAAGCAATTCTTAAATTCCTCCCAAGAGTGTATCAAATACCTTCCTCCATCCACTGAAACCATGCTAAAGCCTTCCCCTCCAAGCATAATCCCGTTGCCATGAGCTTCTCCTCCTTAGTTAACCCATTGATTACAAAGTATTGCTCCACATGATACACTCACCCATGTGCATTCTCTCCTTTGAAAATCGACATCTTCAGGTGTGGAACTCCCCTCTTCGATCATAGGTATATCCCAATCCCGATTTCCTCCTTCCTCCATCGAGCTCTTTCGTGCCCCTTACACCATCCCTCCAATTTTCGGCCCATCACCCTCCATCAGAAGTCTCCACCCCCCTTCTGTTGGAGTCCTAGAGGATGCTCTTGAAAGTAGATGATGTCTTCTCGTTCGATCTCCTTCTCTTTTGACCTGGCTAAGAATTTCCTGGTCAACTATTGGTTAGAGTTTGCAGCTGGAGCGACCAACACTGCCTTGTATTGCATCTCCATGATCTTTTTCATAATATCCCACATTTCTCCTATGTGGCAAACCTCCCTTCCATTCCAAATCTGATTTGTCCTACCTCTTCTTTTAGCACATCTACTATCTTTGTTGTCATCCCACCAAAATCTAGGCTCTAATACCAATTTGATACGCTCCGACGCCAAAATCAGCGAGCAATCAATCACGAAACAACAAGGGATAGAAAACAAACTCAAAAGAGAGTTGCACTTAACAAACAAACAAAGCCAAAAAGCAAGATAGGGTGATCTACTATTTGAGAGATAGATCGGCTCTCCCACAACCCTAGATATCACTATGAACACCACAAAAAGAAGAAAAACACAAAAGTGAACAAAACATGCATCCCC